GGTGGGGGTTGTTTTGGGTGGGGGGGGGGGCTGGGGACTTCAGCCCCAAAGTGCATCCTAGTACAAGCTTATTCCTCTTTCTTCTGACAGCTGGACCTCTTAAAAATCTCAAGGGGTTGACAGACCTCCCAAAGAAGGGAGGGGAAATGCCTCAAGGAAACTGTCAAAAACTTAAAAGATGGGGGGGCGGGGACGTTCAGCTTTTAGAGGAATCCTGCTGGCCTCCAAAGCTCACCTGTTTGGGTTGTTTTAGTGGCCTAAGAGAGATACAAGCCATCTCTCTCTCCCTTTGGGATTTTGTACCGTACAAGGACTGCCTTTCAGAAGATCCAGTCAGAGGGCCCCTCCAGAGAGTCAAGGATCTTCAGGTGCTCAGGAAACGGGGCTGGGCAATTTTCTTCACCGTGCCTAAGGATCAGGCTTCATTGGCCTGCACGCCCCGCCCCCCCCGCCGGACTCCAGCAGTCTGCTAGGGCTGGAATACTCAGGCATCCTCCAGAGACACAGACTTCACCTCCTATGGCAAGCAGGGTCCCCACTCTGTCTTTCCAGCACCAGCAGGAAAGGGATCCCCTTTCTAGGTGGGTTGCAGCGCCCAGACAAAGGCCCCCCCCGGGTTGAAAGCCTTTGTGTGGTGCAAGATGCCCGCGCGGCAAGCCTCCAGCCCGGAGCGGCTCGGCGCACCAGCCCTGCCGCCCTTCGTCCAACCCTCGGCCTCCTGTTTCCAATTTCCTGGTCTGTCCTTCGCCTTGCCCAGCGATCATTCCCGAAGCACAGAGGGAGAGGCAGGGCGCTTGGAAGGTTCCCGGGCTGCCTCCAACGGTGCCGCGGGGTTCCCCGCCCGCCCGGTCTTTTTTTGGGGGGGGGGAAGAAGGAAGGCTTTTTGAACTGGTCCATACTGGGGGATGTCTGGTCTCGCTGGGGCTGGAGAGGAACTGAACTGGAGGAGGAGGAGGAAGCCGACGGGCTGGGGCTAGCCAAAGTGACGCAAGGGCCGGGAAACTTTGGAAAGTTGGGCTCGGCCGGGAGGGGGAAGGAGAGGGAGGACGCGGCGGGGCGCTTCCTCGCGAAAGTGGCATCTGGCTCTTCTTGCGCAAGCCGCCCGGGCGCCTCCTTCCCCGGCGGGCAGCCCCCGAGGGAGTGCCGGCAAGGGGCAGGAGGCGGCGGCGGACCGAGGGCGGGAGGAGGGGGAATGATGCGAGGCAAGGCAAGGGGCAAGCGGGCCTGTCCATCGCCCGCGCCGCAGGTCTCTCCCGACGGGAGACAGGAGCCGAGCTGTGCCCACCCCCGCGCCTCCGTCCGCCTCGTCGCGCCCTTACCCGAGTCGCTGGGGCTCTCGGAGCCGGACGAGGCCGGAATCTTGCCATCAGCCGGGGCGCCTCCTCCTCCTCCTCCTGCTGCTGCTATCACCAGAGGGGACAAGGCAGTGACGTGAGCTGGAGGTGAGCCCTGGCAGTCGCACTGGAGGAGGCAATGGGCGGTGGTGGTGCAAGAGGTGCCTGAGTGCGCTCAAGTGCTCCTCTGCCTCCTTCCGTGTATAAAACAACCCTCAATTTCCCCCCAATTATTTTAGGAAAAAGTGTCATTTTAAACATGGAAAAACGCAGTATATACAAAATATTTTCTACGTGCTGAACAAAAACAAAAATGCATTTGGTATTGAATTTTGTACAGGTTTGCTTCTCAGGCTCAAGAGTATTGTTAAAATTTGTTCAAATCTGTGTTTTTGATTGCACAATATTTCAGGATAGGATTTTTCTATCATGGCTATATTACATAAGTTCTAAATAAACCCCTTGAACTTTAAACTAGTAAAGTGGTACCTTGCTAGACAGTTACCCCGCATGACAGTTTTTTTGCTAGACATTGACTTTTTGCGATCGCTATAGTGATTCGCAAAACAGTGATTCCTATTGGGGAATTTCGCTGGACAATCTTTGGTCCCTGCTTCGCAAACCGATTTTCGCTAGACAACGATTTTGACAGCTTCCTCCGCGCTCGCAAAACAGGTGTTTTCAGGACCTAAGCTTCACAAGATAGTGATTTAAACAGCTGATCGGCAGTTCGCAAAGCAGCTTTCCTATGGCCGATCTTCGCTAGACAACTCGATTCTTCCCCATTGGAAAGCATTAAACAGGTTTCAGTGCATTCCAGTGGGGAAATGTTTTTCGCTAGACAATGATTTCGCTAAACAGCGATTTCAGTGGAACGGATTATCATTGTCTAGCGAGGCACCACTGTACTTGTGTTTATTTTTCTGTGTAAACCATGATGTATATTAAGGAGCCTCATGGCACAGGGTCCCCGAACCGCGCGGTGTCGGGGTCCTGGACCCACTTGGAAACCTTGGTGCCCGATCCTATTAACCAAAAAAGAGGGGGGGGGGTCTGGTCTTGGAAAGTGCTTTGCGGGGGGATCGGTGGGGTTGAGCTACCACTCCCAAGGGTCCTGGGAAGCGTAGTCCTAAGAATTAGTTAAGTCTCCAAGCAATTTCTACGACTGCAGTGACCTGGAGGGGAAAGGGAGACTTTCCTCAGCGTGGGTAAGAGCCGTTCCTTTTTTTAAAAAATCTTCGGATGCTGAAGCTACGGGAGGGCTACCGAGGTAGGGCTTGGGCTGGCCAGGAGGCGGACGCCGGAGAAAACCCCGGTGTGCGGGAGAGGGCTCGCCTCAGATTGGCGCTGGTGTCCTGCGGGTGCGTCGTTCAGTCACTAAGAGCGAAGACCGTCCAGGACGGTACGTAGTCACAACATTTCTGCACTTTCTACATTTATTTACTCCGCCCGGAGCCCTTTTGCACAGATCAGAGACGTCGCGTCCTTCCTCTATAGAAAATCTGAAAGTTCCTCCCGGAGATCTAGAGGTGGAAGGGAAGGGGAGGCAAAACAGGGCCCTTTCCCTCCGGAATCCATCCAACTATCTTCCTATTTTATTTCATTTTTATTTGATCCTCTTAGCTTTCGCCCCGAGAAACGGTGCTGTGCCACTTCGAAGCTGACCCCCAGCCCAGCGCACAGAACCCGGCTGGGCTGAGACTCAACGCCGGTTGTGGATTCCTCCCCCCCCCCCACCCCCCCCC